CACAGTGACGCAAGGCAGGTAGCAGGCGGAAGTGGAACTCACCTGTGTTTTTTCAAGGATCTTTGTCCTCTTGATGCTGAGCCTCAATCCATATTGAAGACCAGTAGTCAGCTGTTTGGCTGTTTACGTGTATATAAACTGCAGGCTCTGGAGGGCCACGGTGGTGGCCTGTTTTAGTGTGGTTGCCACACTTCCAGCTCCTCGCGCTGCATCTCTTGGTCTCTCATCTTGGTTCAGAGGATTTCTTTTCGAATAAGTTTATTTTGAGGCCATGTGGGGACCCCGTTGTACCAGTCACGGGGCTTGGTGCCCACCACCTGTCTCAGGTAAGGGGATCTCAGGGCTTCGTCTGCCGTGTCCCCACAGGGCTACAGCAGTGTGGGCTTGGAAATGGGGGGCTTGCATCCATGGAACTTCCCAGTCTCTTTTGGGAATCTTTGTGCTCTTGATATTGAGCCTCAATCCATATTGAAGATCAGTAATGAATTGTTTAATTGTCCATTTATAGATAATCTGTGGGCCGTGGAGGGTCCTGGTTGCCTGTTTCTATGCGGCTTGCCGCACCTCCAGCTCCTGACACTACTTCCTCTGCCGCCCTCATCTTGATTCTCCACGAGTTGGGTTTTTTATGGTTTTACTATTTAAAAAAAAATTATACTGGTTTTCATGCAAAATTTGTATATATTGTGTTTTGTTTATATACATTGTGTTTCACTCATTCCTCTATTCACATTGTGTTTCATATGATCATTCCCACACACTGTGTTTTATAAAACTAATTACCACTGATCTATGACCACTATTACCCCTCTGTTCAGGTGGCCACTAGATCTTTCTTAGGTCTTTCACCCCCTCCCTCCATTCACCAAACTCTGCAACCTTGTCATTTCCTTACCTCCCCACCCTCAGCCCTCTTGCCCAGTCCCTTTCCCATTTTGGATTTTTATATACCTCTTACTGGTTAACCTTCTATTTTTACAATTATGATCTTATGTAGTATTTGTCCTTGTGAGACTGAGTTAGTTCACTCAACATAATGCTCTCCAGCCTCTGCCATGTTACATAATATTTTTGGAAATTGTTGCCTCTGAGTTCTGTATAGTGTTTTACTGTGTGAATATATCATAATTTTTAAATCTTTTCGTTTGCTAATGGACTTTTGGTCTCTTTCCATTTTCTTGCTGTTGTGAATTATGCTGCTATGAACATACGTGATCAATATTTATTTTTCTTTTTTTGTTGCCATCTGAGTGAAAGTGTACAGAACAAACTGATTTCCCAGTAAACGTCATACACATTTAGCTTGACTATACTGGCTGACATCACTATATTAACAGTACTTGTCCCACTTCTCCCCGTGTTTCCCTTTTCCACCGTCCTCCTTTCCTGCCTTCTGAGCTTCATTCCCACTCTCTCCTGGTGTTTCCCATTTCCCTTCGGCCGTCATTCATTCCTTTCCTGCCCTCTGAGCATTATGCCAGGGCAAATGCTATCCTTTTCATGTCTTTTATTTTATTCTTCTGAAGTGTAAGTACTCGTTTGTATTGTCATTCACCTTAGGGCCATGTTTATCATTAAGCTCAAAGCTAGAGATGAGCATGAGTTCACTTCTAAGCTTGAAGAGTGCTGAAGGGCCAGAGTCTTGGGGGGTTCTACTAGTCTCTGTCAGACTGATAAACCTCATAAGTTCTATGACATTTTTTAGATTTCCTCCTTTAACTCTTTTTTTCTTTACACACCCAAGAACGAATGTTATTTAAAAAAAAATTCTTCTGTATGGTCTTTCCACTAACGTATCTTACTCTTGATGGGACTCAATATTTAAAACATTAGACTTAATGACTAGATCATTATCACTACTTACTAGCCTTGGTTCATTAAGAGGCCTCTTTTTTTTTTTTTCTCTCTCATCTTCTCTCACTGTAATGAGGTTATTAATTAGTGAAAAAGACCTAAGTACTTTGGCTGGCTTGATTTCATGCCACATGGTGACACGAGTAAGTATTTGTATCCATTTAGAATCATTTATTAAGCGATTCTAAAGGGATGCATGGCATTGCTTTTCAATGTAACCCTGCTTTTATCTTGAAATGAATTCTTTTATGTTGTTATTGTTAAATGCTGTCAATTTAACCTTCAACTTGCGGAGACCCTATGCATAATGGGATGAAATGCTGCCCGGTGTTGTGCCATGCCCACAACTGGTTTTGGATCAGATCATTGTGATTCATAGGGTTTTTATTGTCTGATTTTCAGGCACAGGTTGCTAGACCTTTATTCCTGCTCCATTTTGGTCTGAATGCTCCATTCAAAGATGTTCCACATCATATTGTTGCTGTTATGTGCTGTACAGTTGACTACAACTGATAGTGACCCCTGAAGAGCAGACCGCTACCTGGCTCCTTCCTGTGCCATGTTCATGAACTCCAGCGTGTGCAGCCCATTGTTACAGACCATTGTTACAGCAGTCACTGTGTCAGTCCCTCCTGCTGAGGGTCTTAGTTTCTTTCTCTGACACTCTACCTTCCCCAGCATGATCTCTTTTTCTAAAATCTGCTCCCTCCTGACAGCATGACCAAGTTTCACTAGCCTTATCTGTAAAAAGCACCCTGGTTGCACTTCATCCAAGACAGATTTGTTTTTCTTTTGGTTGCCAGTGGTTTCTTCAGTATTCTTCCCTAACATCACAAAGAGAAGACATTCATTCTTCTTTGGTCATCCTTAATTCACCGTCCAACTTTCAGTTGCATAGGAAGCATGACTTAAAACAGGCACAACATGGTCTTTAAACTGCTATTTTTGTTCTTTAGTACTTTGTAGAGGTCATTGACAGAAGATTTGGCCAACTCTGAGGGTTCCCCCTCCACCCCGGATCACTGTGCCGTGCAATCCATTGCTAATGAATAGGTATTAATTGTGCCTAACATACATTGGCCAAGAATCAACCCTATGTCATCGGTATGGAAGGCGAGAATCCTACCCCTGAAATATCAGTCTTTCTTGGGTTATTTTTAAGTTCCTAGAATTCTCATCAAATGTCTCCTTCAGCATGCCGTTGGCTTTGGAATATAACAGTTAAGAGCACCAGCTGTAGAACCAGACTGCCCAGGTTTGAAGCCAGACTCTGCTACTTATCGTGTGACTTGGCATAGGCGATTTAATCTCTTTCTGCTTCCGTTTTCTTACCAGCACGAGCTTGAGGATTAAATGAATGCATATGTGGAAGAGTTTAGGACAATGTCAGGCTGTAATGAATCCTTATTGTACATGAGAAGTTATTTTTGTTCATTATAGCCAAAGAATTGCCTTTAGGCATTTAGTGTGTATAAGGTCCTTTCTAATGTATTTCTAACACAGAATCTTAATTGTCAGTGTGCATGTAATCTTATAGAAAACATATATTCCATAGAACCCTGGAAATAAGCAATCGGAAATCAGTAAAACTGGCTTAAATAAACAAATGAGAAGAATTTCTTACAAGGATGTTGAAGCTTGCCACTGGACCCAGGGACAGAACCACAGCTGGCACGTAAACATTGAAAGGATTCCCTATACCTGCCTCTGCCCCTCTCTGCATCACTGGGCCTTTCTTCCTTCTCTCCCTTTGTGTCCTGCATTTCTATGCTTCCTCAAATCCCTGTGCCAGAAAACATGGTTGCCCATGGCTCACAGTTGATGTATTTGTCTTCTTGTAACAGAAGCTGCTGTAACAGAAATGCCAAAAGTAGATTAATTTCATAAACAGAGGATATTGGCACATGATGCACCCTAACACTAGTCCAGCCTCACTAGCACACCCAACGGATCCAATTAACAAATGGGATTGTAATTATAATCCCAGAGGTTAGGATTTAAACCCCTTCTTTTACAGGGATGCGATTCAGTTCATAATTACTTAATCAATATCGATAGGGAGAAACTAGGAACTCCTGGGTACTCCAGAGAATGAACGTGATGCCCTGCTAACTGAAAGATAGGAAGAGGTTCACGGTCACCCAGAGAAAGTGCCTCAGAAGAAAGGCCTGGCAATATATGTGCCAGAAATTAGTCACTGAAAACCTCTATGGCACCATTCTATTCTGACACATGTAGGGTTGCTATGTATCAGTTGACTCAGTGCCAACTGACATAGGGCCACACAATTTAATGAGTGGAGGGAGCAGTGGATAAAGGAAATTGGAAATATAAAAAGATTGATTTTTTTTAAAAAGAAAGAAGCTATGTATCTCTCAATTATAGTTTTAATAACTCAAGGGAAGGCATTTGATTCCTTGACTGTGTGACAGGGTCTTAACCCATCAACTATGACCAAGGTGGACACCATGTATCACCAGCTCACGTACATGATGCAGCCTTGTGCACAGAGTGAAGAGAGTGGCCATTAGCACAAAAAGGGAGCATGGGAAGATCATTGGAGGAGGGTGTCCACAGAGAGAGTGAGCACCTCGCTGGGATGCTGCACCTCCACACACTCCAGAGAAGGTGCTATGTTCAAAATCATTGCATGTCTTAGTGTCTTGGAGCTATGGACACTTCCTTAGCTCAGAACTCAAGCTCATTGCTGTCAGGTCAGAACCAACTCATAGTGAGCCCTCCAGCAGGTTTGCAGGAGGCTGTAATTTGCATAAGAGATTGCCCATCTTTTCCCCGTGGAGCAGCTGGTGAATTCAGACCACCTGAGAATTAGCACTGCTCGGTATGGACTGCGCCTCTGAGGCTCTCTTTTTTCCTTTGAACAGCGAGACATTCACAGTGGTTGAAAACATGGGCCCCTGAATCAGAGAGACTCCAGCCTCAATCCTATTTTTCTCCTTTTATTCATCATGTAACCTTGAATATGTTCCTGTAGCTCTTGGAACCTCAACTTACTCATCTTTCAGAAAGGAGGATAGCAATACTTCCCCAAGTTGTTTGAGCTGCAGTTTTTACAAAATAAATGTTCGTGATTGTTATCATCATTATCAGCTGATGAATTCTTTTCCTTTCACTCCCTCCTGCAGGCTGAATTCTCAGAGCTGAACCTAGCTGCCTATGTCACTGGGGGCTGTATGGTGGACATGCAAGTTGTGAGAAATGGGACCAAGGTTGTGAGGTAAGGACGACTGAGTGTGCAGAACCTTCACTTCATTGGCGTTGTGTGGACCACTTCCAATAGCAACCTAATCTCTACTGCCTTCCAACTACCAAATGATTTCTCCATGACAGAGTGTCTACTTGTAAAGAACTTGAGTGTCACAGTGATATGAATGACTAATGGCACAAATAAGCTGGGAAACAATGGTTCTGTCTTGGAATCAACAGTATTATATCCTGTTCCATTACATACTGTTCCAAGAGAAGACCTGGGTCCATTTCTGGCTTTGGAGCTCTCTCCTGGCCCATCATTTAATCTCTCTGGCCCTTCACTCTTCAGCCGTAGCATGAAGTTGAAGAACTCGATAGAAGGTGCTACAGCAAGGGAAGAACCGCAGTCAAAGGCGGCTGAAGTTTGACATAAATTCATGTGTGTGTGAGAGCACTAACTCTTAGGGGCTGGAACTGGGTTTGAAGGGTTCTTAGAATGAGCTAACTATTGGCTTCTGTTTCCAGCAATGTGGTAGACCTAGTGTTCACTGAGGGAGCTCTGGTGGCTTAGTGTTAAGGAGTGTGGTGACATGGCGGTTCAAATCCACTAGCTGCTCTGTGAGAGAAAGATGGGAAATCTCGTCCTGTGAAATTTAGTGTCTCCTAAAACCTGCTTGAGGCTCAGTATGAGTTGATTCCAACTCGATGGCATGCCACAATAACAAAGTGTTCATAGAGACCTCTCCCAACACATCTAACCTAACAGTACTGAATGCATTTGTTTTTTAAAAACCTGTATACAATGTATACTGAGCTGGAAAGGAAGTGAGAGAATTCCTCCCCAGCTGGAAGTGACAAAAAGTATAAATCCTTAGGAGAAAGACATGCATAAGCACATTTAAAAGTGCCTAACTATCCAGAGACTGATTTGAATTATGTGCTATAGACGTTTACAGAGAAAAGAGATAGGATTCAGATTTGGGGGACGTACGGAGAACAGGAGGAGTAGGGAAGTGGTTCTGAATTCTGTCAAAATCTAGAATGTAGGGGCATCTGTGGCTGGACATGGAGAATGATAATACGCTGTAGGAGGAGAGAGCAGTCTTTGTGCATGGAGATAAGGAAAAAGAATTAAAAAATATATTGGGGAATTGATAGTTTCCCTAATTCAGCCATCATTTGTTGAGTCATATGTCATAGGGAATTCTGGTGGGCTAATGGTAAAGAACTCGATTGCCAACCCAAAGGCATGTAGTAGTTTAAATCCACCAGCTGCTCCATGGGAGAAAGATGAGCGGTCTCCTTCCATGTGATTTATTGTCTCCAAAAACCATCTGGAGAGTCAGCTAGGAATCAGTTCCAACTCATTGGTAACAAACAACAACAGAATTGCATGCTAGAAACATTTTCTTTAAAAAGCAAATTCATTCTGTCAGCTTAGAACCAACACATGGTTGACCCTACAATGAGATTTCAAAGATGTAAATTACACGAGAAGAGACTGCTCCTCTTCTAAGCTAGTGAATTTAAACTAACAGAGAAACATGGCCTGGCCTTTGGCTTAAAAGAGAAACTCATTATGGACTATGCTGATAATACCCACTTTCAAATAATTGTTTGTTGTTAAGTGCCATCGACTCAAGTGTGATTCATAGCGACTCTATGAACAACAGACCTGAAAACCTGTCCTACCCTGTGCCTTCCTCATCTATCTCTGACACAGTTGAGCCCATTGCTGAAGTCACAGTGTCAGTCCATCCTATTAAGTGTCTCTTTCTCTTTTGCTTATCCTCCACCATTCCAGCATGATGTCTCTCTTCAATGAATAGCCTCTTCTAGGAATTGTTGTTCTCTGCCATCAAGTTGCCTGCAACCCACAGTGTACAGCAGTTCTGAAGCCTGCCCTGTCCTGAGCTGGCCTCACTAATTCCAACACACCAACCCCCATTGCCCAAGTTACTGTGTCAATCCATCTCATCTGGGGTCTTCCTCTCCTCTGTCCCTTTGCCCTCCAAACATGATATCCTTCTCTAAGAATCAGTCTCTCTTGGCCACATTCCCAGTGTACGTGAGATGGAGCTTCAAAATCCTAGCCTCCAAGGAGAAACGTTGTTTCACCCTCTCCAAGGCAGACCTATTTATTTTCTTGGTGGTCCATGGCATGTTCAAGATTTTTCTCCAGCACCACAATTTGAAGGTATTGATTCTTCTTCTGCCATCATTAATTGTTGTGCAGACATGCTCAAAGTATGTGAGATGTAGCTTTGCTGTACTTACTACCAAGGTGCAATCTGGTTTCACTTTCTCTAGGATATAGCTGTTTGTCTCCAGGATATATCTTTTTGTTTTTTTG